TTTTACTTGAATTTACATTTAGTAAGGTTTTTGTATTAATGTTTTATCCTTGGCATTGAATTCAAACAAAATTTTGAATTAATAGTTTCTATTCTATGCGAGCCAAATTGAGTTGGATTAAGGAAATATCAGATCCTTGAAATACACTTTAACACTATCTGTGATAAAAGTGATTATCATTACTTTAGATAGAGAGTATTATTGATAATTACTTCACTTCCTGTGATTTCAGTCTAGGTACCTAATTAATCTAGCGGAAAAAATAAGCGCGATATTCCGTGAAAAATTGTGACGAAATGATTTTTCGTGTTTTTTTTTGCTTGGCGCAGTACGCATACCAAAAATTTGAGACCCATTTCTTAATTGGTTAATTCCTAATTTTTATAAATGAATAAAACTTTTTGCTTTTTTTAAATTTTTATTTTACAATCGTACTATACACGGTGTCCATTTTTCGAGTGCCACTATGGGGATCTCGCTTACCTTAAGAGAAAGTTGGTTAAATGGGGGCAAACTTGCGAATTTCCCTGCTGAATAACCATCTGAAAAGAAATTTAAAATATCATCAATAGTTCTGAAAATATCGCAAAAAAACGAAACTTTCTGATTTTCGTTTTTAATTTTTTCCTGATAAACTAGTCGTACTAGACATTTCTAATTAACACATTATTCAGACACTTTTCAATGGAGATTTCGAATGTGACTTCTCGTTTTAAATAACTTTTAAGATGACAGAGAAACACGTGGCAACTTTAGTTTTTCTTATGGGCGCCATTTTTCAGTTTGAGATTTTAAAATTACGTCTTTTTTTCTTTTTACGACGATATATCACACATGGTGGTTCAGTATCACATTTTTCCTAAAATACAATTTTTAATTTTTTGGGAAGAGTGCTTTGGAAAAACAAAACGTTCTTTTATTGTGAACAAAAGTTTGACAGTTTGATGCATATGTCCGGTTGCAGCATTGGCACCAGGGAACTAGATGTGTTGAGAAAATTCGATTTTCATATGAAGAGAATTGAACCTTCATTTTGAAAGAAAATTATAATTCAAATTAGAACAAAATACATAAGAATAAATAATATTTTAGCAATAAAACTAGCAAAAACGTAAATGACACTGCTTGAAATAGGTCAACATTTTGTTCGCAACAAAACGTTTTGTTTTTGCATAGCACTCTTCGCAGAAAATGAAAATTGTATTTTTAGAAAAAATGTGATACTGAACCACCATGTGTGATATATCGTTGTAAAGAGAAAAAAAAACCTAATCTCAAAATGTCAAAATCCAAAACGGCGCCCATAAAAAAAACTAAAGTTGCCACGTGTTTCTCCGTTATCTTGAAAGTTATTAAAAACGGGATGCCATATTCGAAATCTACATTAAAAAGTGTCTGAATAATGTGTTAATTAGAAATGTCTAGTACAATTAGTTTACCATAAAAAAGTTAAAAATGAAAATCGGAAATTTTCGATTTTTTGCCATATTTTCAAAACTATTGAAGATATTATAAATTTATTCTTAGATTATTATTCAGCACGAAAATTCGCAACTTTGCCCTAACTTAACCAAGTTTCTATCTCTTAAGATAAGCGAGATCCCTATAGTGACACTCGAAAACTGGACAGCCTGTATAGGTAGTACCAGGGGTAGTACAATGCGATCAAAAAAGAGTTGCTGTCGAATTTTTGTTTACAAGGGAATTCGTAATATCGAACTTGAATTTCCAAAGGCGACTCGACGTCAATCCTTTTTTGATTACCCGTTAGAACCCAATGAAATTGTCCATTTAGGGATTGCATTATCTTATTGAGGGAACTTTTCATTTTCAGATTACAACCGAAATGACTCCCATATATCTCGGGCGACACTAATAATTCAAATCAGGTGTCTTTATACAGGCCGATTCAAATTCGAGGGCCACCATGGGGATCTCGGAAACTGTAAGAGATAGGTGCGTAATTTAATTTGGCAAAGTTGCGTATTTTGATGCTTAACAAAATGCGATTTTGAAACTGAAAAAATTCCGACTACTTTCGGAGATTTCCCGAAATTTTGCGAAATCGTTAGACTTGGGGTCTATAGCGATAGCTAAATTAAGTGCCCAGACGACGACTAAATCTAATCAAGGCAAATAGGATGAAACTGACATTCGGGTTTTTTTATGCGAAATGTGTGAATTGCCTCCTATCGATTTCATTACGCCAAAAAGAGGAACAAGCAAATTTAATTAGAAGCGATCCATTCGATTATCTCTCCTCGTTTGACCTTTCCCGAGGCGCCTAACGTAATTCGATTGACCAAAAATTGCCGATCGAGACCAGAGTAGGTTGTGGGAAAAAAAAATAATTCCCCGTCGATGGGACGCGGTCGGAGAAATTAGAGAAAATTATGGAAGACGAAGGCGGGCTTGACTTTTTTAATTTGTTAACGTAGGTTTCGATTTATATCGCGCTGCCTCCTCTGCCAAATTGAGCTAATTGTTATATGAACAAAACGAACATGTGCGCTTCTCTCTCGGAGAAATAAACATCACACGTGATAAATTTTAGGACTCAATTTTTACGAGTCCTCCCACTCATATCCTGTCCGTTCATTACAGTGGCGAACATTAAACAGATCCGTACCGTTTTAAAAATATGCCCGCGAGAAAGTAAAAAAAAAGTAGCGCGATTTTCTACGAGGTTTAGAAAGTCGCACTTTGCAATATCGTTTACGCGAGGGTGTCGATTACGCGCGTCCGTAACCGAAACCGCCCTATACAATTACAAAATGCGCAATTATTGACATTTTTTTTACAAAAAGCAAAACCGCCTCGAGCAATGTCATCATCATCTCAACCTTCCTCAATAAGTGCCAAGTGGATTACGTTCGGAATAGCAAATGCGTGCTATTTCCGATTATGGACATGGTCACTTCCGTTTCTAAACTACTAAAGTATGGCGGATGGCGAGAGGTTTTTGTGGTTAAAATTGCATTGGTTTCCTGTGAATTAGCCTCAGAGTCCGATTTGTCTTTGGATAATTAACGACCAAGTGACAACATTAGGGTCCCTTCTTGATAAATTAAATTATAGCCTCTTCTTATAATTAAATTTACTCCTACTCGAAAACCACGGTGAAGCTGAAGTCGAAAATTTCGATTAATTAAATTGTAATAAAATTAAAAATGATTTTCTAGTATATTTTTAATGCATGAAGAAGAGGGTTTATCGAATCTAAGTGGATTGTTTGATAATTGACTAAAAAGTAATCATTTGGTAATCATAATTAATTAATTGAAAAGATTCGATGTCGATTATTTCTAACGATTATTCCAATTTATAAATTGTCTATTCGTAGTTCCTAGTCCGTTAATACATGGGCTTGTACTTTGTTAACGAAAATTAAAAACTGATCCCAGTATAAGAAAATTACAAAAAAATTCTACAGTTTCCAATGTTTCAAAGCATATTTGACACATTTTTTCAAGTTAAACGTAAGATGTCTAGATGATATTATATTAAAAAAAATTTACAAAATTCCTACACGTTTTCAAAATTTTGAAACGTATCAAAAATTCCCTTTTCTCAAATTTCCCAAGTATTCTGAAACACATTCGAATATTCTTAAACATTTCCAACATTTTTTGCACATTTTTGATATATGTATTTCCAAAATCCCAACACTTCATTGAGGTTAGGTTCGATAACTATTTTACCTGAATAAAGAAACTTCTGTGTCTCTTTCAACTAAGAAAATATGGGGTCATTCTGAAATTAACAATGTTTTTATTATCCCCCGTAGCTCTTTAGCGAGCGAATATTTTCAAATTTTGATTTTACCATTTTAAGTTTGGCCCAAAAAAAGCACATGGCGCCTATGTTAATTTTTAATAATAATAATATAATAATATTTAATGTGTGCCATTACATAACTATAACACAAGACAAACACGATTATATTATATCACAGGTCATAAGAAGTTATAAACTTAACGCTTTTACCGACGAACAGAATTCCTCAAAGGTGTAAAAGGCCTTTGACAGAAGATATTTCTTTATACAGTCTTTAAATAGTTTTGCGGGGAGGCATCTAACATTTACAGGTAAAGAATTATATAATGTCTTCGCTTGGTATTCACATCCGTTCTGGGACGTTGTCAGCCGGCAGTATTGGATAGTTAAATTATCCTTATTACGGGTGTTGTGCGTGTGCTGTTGGACATTCCATTTGAGACTGTCAACGCTATCTCTTGCGTAGCACAAAGCTTGTAATATGTATACGGAGGGGAGCGTCAATATTTGTAATTTAATGAAGACTTGCCGACAGTCTTGCCTGTATCCTAGACCAGCTACTACGCGAACTGCTCTACGTTGTAGTTTGAATATGGTGCAGGCCGATGCACTATGTCCCCAGGCTAATATGCTGTAGCTTATGATACTATGTACTAAAGCATAATATGCGGACACTGTTACCTGTTGGGAAACAGTTTGACTTAATCTACGTAACACATAAATTGACTTGTTGCACTTGGCCCTTACGAAATCGCAATGTTCATGAAAGTTTAAATGAGAGTCCAGCATACACCCCAGAAACTTCGTGAACTTTACAGTCACATTGGCGTCACGTTTTAATGAAAAAGGAAGTGTTATTGTTTTGTTCTCATTGAGTCCGAGTTTATTTACCGCACACCAATTTTTAATAGCTAATAATCCGTGTACCACGTTGTCATAAGCCACATGATAAGAAGAGTCTGCTGAAATTAGCGTAACATCATCTGCATACAGTATACAGCTGACGGTACTAGGAAGTATGGTCGGTAAATCGTTAATATATAATAAAAATAGCAGTGGGCCCAAAATTGACCCTTGCGGGACCCCACTGGTTATTTGTAATTGTTCAGAAGATGT